TACTAAAAATATGTAAAAACATTTTTATTTTCATTTTTATTTTGTTTTACCTTCTGAAAATGTTTTATATAAAAAATACTTTTTTATTAAATATTAAATATTATTAATTTGTATATATAATACATATTAAGAAAATAATACATATATATGTATATTTATTAGGATATTTAGGTTAAAATACAAAATATACACATTTTTATTTTTTATTAATATTAAATATAAAAATACCCTTTTCACAAATATACTTCATTTTTTTTATTTTATTTTTTGTAATAACTAAATATTTGTACATAATAAATAAATAATGCATTTTATTTAATAGAATTAGGGTTTAACCCTAAACATGAAAAACTCCCAAAAAAATAATACTTTTCTTTTTGTTTATTTTGATACATAAAAATACTTTTTTTTCATACATACAAAAACCATTTTTGCATCTTGCATATTTATTCTTATTTCATTTAATTTGTGCAAATAAATATCTTGTAAATAATTCAATATTGATGTAATAGTTTAGGTCTAAATTCCTTGTCAAAATCCCCATTTGAACATTTGTACCCCCCTTCCCATATATGGTGTTGTAATAGCTTAGTAAATTTATTTTTCGCACTTTATTGCTTTCTAATTATACCATGTTAGAATTAGGGTTTTGTATGCGAAAAAAACAACAAAAATAGTTTGACCTAATTTCAAGATAAACAAGCATGAAAATGGACACACAAATCACACTTGCACCCCCTAGGGTATTCCACTTGTTGCCTTCAATAAATGGGCCATATTGCATGTTAGGTCTCTTTGGGCAAAACAAACACAAATCAAATGATCATAGTCCCTCGATGACGCTTTCGAAAGTTGCCTAAAAAATGATCAAGTCCCTTAAAAGAAAATTGCCCAAAGATACTTGGCACCATTGCAATTATGGTCTAAACGATGACCCGCGCCCGTCCCTTTCACATCCTAACATGAGATTGTCCACCAAATACAATGGTGGAACAAACTTGTTAAAAGGGTTAAAACATAGCAATAAACCTTGAGAAATTTAGGAGTAGATAACCTCTTAGTTACTTGAATCAAACTTGCAAAAACAAAAACACTTGCCTATTTTCTAAAACCACATTTCACAACACTTTCAAAAACAAATGAAAACCTTTTCAAAAGACATACACCTTTGTATACATCCCAACATGGATCATTACAAAGGTTGCCACCACATTGGCTTCTTTTCAAAACATTTTCAAACCCACACACACAAGCACCATTTCAAACAATTGAAAACAAAAGGCAAGTGATCTAAGCAAGTAACTAAGAGCCCATGGATAACCATGGATAGAAAGGGTGCTAATACCTTCCCTTTCTATAATCTACTCCCCGAACCCAAGAAAACATCTCAAAGGTTTTTGCTGTGCTTTTTAAACCTTTCCTTAAGATAAAATAAAAAGTCGGTGGCGACTCTTGCTCAACCGAAACATTTGCGAAAACAAACGCAAAACCATAGTCAGTTCTCCCACCGTATCACACTTGCAAATACCTTAAAATTCTTTTATTCGCTGCAAAGTGAAGTTCAACTGGCATAGACTAGTATCTATTAATCAGACTAACAACATACATTACATATGTTCGAGTGGTTGTCACATACATCATGCTTCCCACAAGTTGCTTATAGAGTGTGATATTTACCTTCACACCTTGTTCATCTTTGTGAATCTTAGACCATAGGTCAATAGGATTTAAGACAAAGTTGCTTTCCTCCATTCTGAATTTTATTACTAACTCTTTCTGAGTCCCTGGGAGGTTCTTGTGTTGAGTGGCTTGGTAAATATATATTCAACCTGTTGTTGTATTCTATAGAACCTTAACTGAACAACTCCTTCATTCACCAGCTCACGTAGGAAGCAGAACCATACATCGACGTGTTTGCTTTTGACGCGCATCACTGGGTTTTTTGATAGCTTGATTTTTGAGTTGTTATCATAGAAAATAACAGGGTTGTTGCTTCCTTAGTAGCCAATTTTTTCCAACACTCTTTTCATTCATATTAGCTAACAAGAGAAATCTGTTGCCGCCATAAATTCTGCTTCAATTGTACTCAATGTAACAATTGGTTGTTTCTTGCAGGACCATGCTTCACTGAGAATGAAGGTATACCAGGATGTACTATTCATTTCCTTCACACATCCAGCATAATCATTGTTAATGAATACAACTAGCTCTCTGTTTTCCCATTTCCCATAAAAGAGAAAATATTTAATAATCCCTTGCAAATACCTTAAAATTCTTTTATTCGCTGCAAAGTGAAGTTCAACTGGCATAGACTAGTATCTATTAATCAGACTAACAACATACATTACATATGGTCGAGTGGTTGTCACATACATCATGCTTCCCACGAGTTGCTTATAGAGTGTGATATTTACCTTCACACCTTGTTCATCTTTGTGAATCTTAGACCATAGGTCAATAGGATTTAAGACAAAGTTGCTTTCCTCCATTTTGAATTTTGTTAGTAACTCTTTCATATACTTCCTTTGACACATAAAAATTCCATTGTCAAGCTGCATCACCACAATTCCCAAGAAGTATTTCATTATTCTCAAGTCAGTCATTTCAAACTCTTTCATCATGGATTCTTTAAACTCATTCATCATAGTTTGACCATTATTTATGTAGATCAAATCATCAACATACAAGCTAATAATGAGTCATTTACCTTGTGTGTTGAATTTTGTGAAGAGAGTTTGCTCACTGACATCCTTTACAAATCCCATCTTCTGAAAGTAAGTACCTATCTTGTTGAACCATGCACGTGGTGCCTTCTTCAATCCATATAGGTCCTTATGAAGCTTGTACACTTTTCTTTCTGCACCCTTGATTTCATTACCCTCTTTGATGGTCCACATACACTTCCTCGGAGAGTTCTCCTTGCAAGAAAGCAGACATACTTCTTTTGTGTCCTTGTCAGAGTGCTTATCAAATAGCACAACGAACATACGGTTGGAGGTCATATTGCTCGGAAGGATTAGGCCTTTTATTGAGTGATAAATGCAACATTTATTATCCTTCATCACAATTGTTAATCCTTTTCTTGCATCTGTCCGAGTCTAAGAAGATTATTCCTTAATTCTGGAACCTAGAAGACATCCTGAACAAGATGACTAATGCCTCCAAAGTATAACCTAGAACTACCTTTACCAACCACATTTAATTGCATACGATTCCCCAGCCGCACTGTTCTTTGAAATACATCTTCCAACTAATTCAATAATAATGGGTCTCCACACATATGATAGCTTCATCCTGAATCTAGAAACCATATATCAGTTTTGCTTTGTTGATGATTCATGATACGCCATGAGCAACATCTCCTTAGTTATTTCAATTTTAGTGTAAGTTGATTGCTTAGCCATATTTGGACACTCATAATGAAAGTGACCCAAATGATGGCAGTTATAACATTAAACGGTTGCCTTGCTATAGGTTTGTTGGCCTTTGCCTCCTCCACCCCTTCTTCCTCTGAAAGTTTCTCAGTTGCCTCGTCCTCTTCCACCATTGTTCTCACTGTAGCCACCGTGAATGCTTGCTCTTCAACTACTTCCTTCCTGAATTTTTGCTCGGGCACAAGAAGGGAGCTTGTAGCTCTTCAACAGGAAGCTCGTCCATATCTTTGGATTCCTCAATGGAACAACAATATAATTCCACTTTTCAGTAAGGGTTCTAAAAATCTTCTCAACGACCTTGATATCAGTCATATCTTCCACGCAATTCCTCATATCCTTTTCTATCACCATTTGCTAAAGTAATTATTGATTGATTCTCTTTGCTTCATGGCAAGGATCTCAAACTCTATGCGCAATCGATTGAGTTGGGCTCGCTAAACTCGAGCATTTCCCTGTTATTTCATTGTTATTGAATCCTACATTTTCTTGGATGTTTCCTTATTTGAGATCATCTTCATAATTTACTTGTCAAGATATTGAAACAAATAATTCTTGGCTTTAAGGTCCTTCAATTGCATATCTTCCGCTGTCTTTTTCTATGCTGCCATCGATACTTCTCCTACAACGGGTTGAGCGAGGACCATGGTCACAATAATTCAATACTCCTTCAAACGAAGAAGGTTCCCCATGAGCATCGCTCCAATGATCATAATCACCATCAAACTTTGGAATTGGTGGTGGATTAAAGTGATCGATGCCTTTAGACGCCATCTGCTTTATCTCTTTGTTTCTTATGAAATTTTCTTCTCTGATACCAGATGATAGAATCAAATGCTGAAAAACATGCTTAATTAAATAAGAAAAGATCAATATATAAGCTTACACGATATCACATGATCTTCCTAACTCTCCAGTATATGTAGAGCAGTTTATTCCTTCCTAAAATTAAAGAATTGACTTTGATTGAAACAATAAAATAAATAATAATAAACTGACAGTGCAATACTTAATTTAATTAAAAATAAATACCAAAATACTAATCTTAACAAAATTAACTTAAAAAGTGAAATTACTCTCAAATATTATATATTCAACATCTCAAAAACTTAAACTATGTCAAACTTCAAACCAACTCTAACCCACCATTAATATATAACCATTAAAGTCCTTTTAAAAACGCATAATCTATAAATGACACTATCAAAGTATGGTTTGAATTATCTTTTTGAACTTTAGGATTGGATTGGATTAGATTGAACTAAGGTTGCGGTCCCATGTTGATGTTCACGAGGCACGTACCACATATTAAATGATCACTATTGGTGCATCTCCATCGTTACCATAATACACCAAATTAACGAGTGCCCCATGCTAAAGCACGTGAGGTCCATTACATTAAATTCAACTCAACCCATTCTATAATTAGTCATTACTATTATCACTATTTGTTTAATTATTATAACGCGTAGAGTGAGACCAGAGTGTACAATATAAGCCAAAAAAAAAACAGAACAAAATGAAAACATAGTAACATTAACATAAACAGAAACACCAAAACCAATTTCAATGGCTTCTTCTAGGAAGAGTTTTCTTTCAAGATCAAGTTACATTTTTCCAACAACCTCAGAGATAGAGACAAGTTTCAATACAAAATCATCAGAAGCAACTGAGTTCGAGCTCGATGAAGCCGATGTATGGAACATGTCGTATTCAAATTCAAATTCCAACAACATGACAGAATCAAAGAAGTATGTACTACCAGGTTTGAAGAGAGGTTCTAGAAAAATGGAATCCAACAATAGAGTTAACCCTATAGCTTCATCTTCTTTACCGATGAATATACCGGATTGGTCAAAGATCTTGAAGGATGAATACAAGAAGAAGAACAAAGAGAATAGTGACGATGATGAAGATGGTTATGATCGAGAAACTCGTTTACCTCCTCATGAGTATCTTGCAAGAACTAGAGGAGCTTCTCTTTCTGTTCATGAAGGGAAAGGTAGGACTTTGAAAGGTAGGGATTTGCGTAGTGTTAGGAATGCTATTTGGAAGAAAGTTGGTTTCGAAGATTAATCTTTGCTTCAATAGGAAGAAGCCGATATTGGTAAGTTAGACGTGATCATCAGAGTTCAAACCCTAGTCATCTAACTCCGAGTTATGTGTATGAATTTTTATTGATTATTATCATCAAAGTTCAAACCCTCGTAGTCAGACTCTGAGTTATGTGTATGAGTTTCTATTGATTACTATCGTTTTTTATTAACTTTATTAATCTTTTTAATGCATAATTAAGTATGTTTAATCTTTTGTGGCCATATTCATTCTTGTTTTTATTCTGTATTCATCCTCTTATTGAAAACGATGTATGAGATTGGAGTCTGCGGGTAATACTAATAATGTTGGTGGGTAAAGACTTGAATGAACAGGTTGGTAAGAAAAAAAACAATGTTATCTATCAATAATTCATCAAAGAGTAGCGTTATTTACACGTTATTTTTTTATATAATAAAATACATATTCTAAATTCCATCATATTCTTTCTTTTGATTATTATATTTGTGAGATAAAGAAGTGTATATGATGACATACTTAAGAGATCATGCACATATATAACTCTACACAATGCAAGAAGTTGTGATGGATACACTTGATTTTTATTGTATAATTGTATAATACTAAGAAAATCATTTATGAGGGTTAACTAGCAATAGTATGGAAATTCTATTCAATTTTTTTATAAGCGAATTTTAGTTTGTTGAAGCTTTCTTTGACCATAAAACAATGTAATATTTTATAATTGCTATTCCTTCCAACTTCCAACTGTTATCCACATTACTTTTTGTTTTTAAGATTTTTTTTTTTGGTAGTTTATTTGTATTGTAGGTATTTATATAAAATCCAAACTAAATGGTTGACATATCTCTCAAATATGATGCAATATCCAAATGTTACAACATTTAGAAGTTGGAGTATATTAAGCTTTAAGCTATTTTTGTGAGTTAGAAGGGGAGAAGATTTTTTATGATGGATATTTTAAAAAAATATTTATTATTATTTGAAAAAATATACTTTTGTATCAAATGATAAATAAATATTTATAATTAATATATTTTAATTTTTAAAATATTATATCAACATAAATTATAATTAAAGAATTCCACCTAATCCCCCAAACTCTTTCACAAACACAATTGTTTAGTTCTCTCAAACTCTTTACACCTAAATCACTAATTTTATTTCATCATTCCTTTTTTCAAAGCTCTCTAATTTCTGTTCTTTCAAATTTCCAAATAAAATCTTAGAATTTGTTAGAAGTTATTAATTTAATTATAAGTTAGTGAATGAATGAGAGGTATTTTTGAGTGTGAGAATGAGTAAAATATCTAGATCTCGGTGTTGTATTCCAATTTTTTTCCCCTAAGATTCCTCTATCATCTCATATCAACTCAATCACAATAAGATCACACTAGGGTTTGGTTCTTCTCACTATCTTTAGGTTTGCTCATGAGGAATAACCAAGCATCTTGAATTATATATTATGATCATCTATGCTTTATATTAATTAACTTTAAACTAATAAATACAATGAATATTTTTTCTAATTGATGATATTATAGGTAAGGGAACAACACATTTCATCAATTTGATTTATAGGTTCATGAGTTTATTTTCATGCCTTCTTCAACAAAGTTTCATTGAGATTCAAGCTTCATCATTGAAGATACTTTGAAGTAATATCATGACAATGTCTACTATGATCTATCGTGCCTCAATTTGTCAAAGAAAATTAAAAGATGCAAGAGTTGATTGAAGAAGTTTGACCTAATTGGACAAGTTCTTCATTTCATGGTCACAAGGGCATAACTCTCAATTCTTAATATTTAGAGGGTGTTTTTGTTGCTATGACTTCTTATTATCATCCACAACAACTTCTATTCACATGGCAAAACATATTATGCAAGAAAGATTATCAAAATTGGAAGGGGTTTCCAAGTCATTTTGGTGCTCTAAGCGCTAGGGTTTTGAACTTCTAATAGTTATATCTTGCTCATCTTTTGGTATTTCTGAGTGATTCCAAAAACATGCTTCTCTTTAAAGAGTTATCAACCAATAACTTCAAAAGTTTCAAGAGAATTTCATGTGTAAGATGCCTAATGACGAAGAAAGATTACAAGTCCTCTAGATAGGCCATCAAATTCCCTTATGTGACTTCAAAAGACCATAACTTGATCAATTTTTATCTCCTTCAACCCATTCTTTTTCCACAATAATCTTAAGGTTGTGAACTTCAACTTTTTTTATGTGCAAAGCTTGAAAATATATGGAAGTTTCCCTAAAAATGCAAAAGATTATAGGTCATCTCATGAATTTTCACCAACTTCACAAAGTCATATCTTTCTCAATTTTTGGAGTTTTTAAGTGGTTCAAACTCAAAATATCATTTAAAAGATCTACTCCATGTTTGGATGCAAATAATTATAGATCATTTTTGAAATAAAACTTAGAAATTTTCTAAGTACAAAAAGTCAGCATATTTTTCTCAACATTGACTCATCACAAATTTTAGCTCAAGCATCCATTCGATCCCAGTCTTTTCACATTATAAAGATTGTAACCTTATCTTTCAAATGCTTCAAGAATCATGCCCTAAGACCCCTTGAGCTATGAACATCATGGATTCAAAGTTGGTACCTTAAAACTGAAGTTTCCTCCAAAGTCAGCATTTGAAATTCATAATCCAGCTTCTAATCACCAAATTGTTGCGCGTTTTTACTTCTAATCATGTTTAACAATCTTCCAGAAGTGGTTAGCACCTTGAAACGCAAGAATTAGCCTAGTTTTGAGCAAATACGAATCACACTTTTCATGCTTGCAACTTCACACGATTTCCCTCCAAACTCCACTAATTCTTTTAATTCTCATTCTTATTCACTTCCCTATAAATAGAGGGACATATTGCATTCATTTTCTCAAACTTTGAGAACTAAATACATCTTGTCAAAGTTTATTCGTAACTCAGAAATTTAAAATTCCATTTCACAGTTTCAAGTTGTTTCTTCACAATTTCTTTACATATTCATCATCCTCCATAAACACACAAACTCCCCAACAAATAAACCAAGCAAATCGAGCCATATTTTAAGTTATAGAAGTTCACTTTCAAAGTTATTTTTCTGATTCTCGTTCAGGTATTTTTTTAACCAAATCATTCCAAATAAAATCCTATTCTACTCTACTCATCCTTTTGATCCTTCTGCTTCTTACAATTTTAAAATCGTTGAGAATTGAGTAAGAAATCTTAACCTAAAGTGCTCGCTATTATTTTTGGTTTTATGCATCTTTCTCTCTACTCAGTTTATACAAATTTTTCGCGAGGGTGAGGTTAGGATCGTCTGGAAGAGACGAATCCAAAGATATTAGTATGATCTTATAACGTTTCCATTTAAAGAATCTCAAAATCTCACGCGCAGGATGTCCGGAGGTTGAAGACGACCTACGTGTCTTTCTTCAACCAATGAATATTGTACATTTGTTTTATTTTGATTCGTTACTTATTTTTTGATTCAGCTTGTTTTGGCTGAGGGTCCATGATATGCACAACGCTCCAGGTCATTTGGATCTGTTTACTAACGCGTTTTGATTTTTCATCCAATGGACCATATTTTTTCCTTTTATTAATTTAAAATCTGATTTAATAATTGATTTGGTGTAATTTCCAATAGTAACCATATCATGCACAGCGTGTCAGATCCGTTGGATCTACTTACTAACATGTTTTGACAATGATCTAGTGGTCCACAGTTTTTTGGCTGTATTTTATTTTCTGATTTTTTTTATATTTATTTGTTTTAAACTTCAAATAATCATAGAAAATCCATTTTTTACTTAAAAATTATGAAAAAATTCACAAAAATATTTTCAAATATTCTCTTCCTGATTTTTATTTTTTCATATTTGATATTTTTTATAATTTCTCCTTTATTTCAACCTATTTTTAATTATTTAAAAATACTTGTTGATGCTTTTAAATTCAGAAGAAAAAAATTATAAAAATCATTTTACTCATTTCTGTCTTTCTGAAATTTTTCTAGAATTTTATCTTGACTTCTATTATTTTTGATCTTTTTCTTCATTTATTTGAGTGATTTTAATTAGTTTTAAAATACTTTATGTTTTAAAAAATTACCAAAAAATTTATAAAAATATTTGAGGTTCTTTTTTATTTTTCTATGGTCTCTTTTAATTTTTCTTTGATACTTTGAATATAGGTTTCCATTTTACCTTTTATTTTCATTTTTAAAAAATAATTTAAAAGTCTTTTTTTTTAATTTTATTCATTAAATGCAATTTATTTTTTGAATATATTCTGGCCATATGATTTTTATCATGAACTTCATTAACATCATCGGATCTTGAGTGTTGAGTCTAACTCCACTAAAATGGATGGATGACTTTAATGATAGTTTGATTAAATTTTTATTCAAATATATCCCCTCCCTCTTTATCCCATCCTCTTCTCTTTTGTGCTACATGTTGTTAGAGGATGATTTACATATCATCCCTCCAAACATATGGCACATATATTGCTATTGACTGACCTCAAAATAGGTGCGACTTCTACATAAGTCCACTTACGATTGCTTAACATAGCGCTAAATTTTGTCCCGATTCGAGAAATGATCATTCATGGCCCAAACCTATGTTTGCAAGGCCAAGTATGTCTTATTTGAAACCTTTGATCTAATAACCTTGAGGTTCATTGTTAGGAGGCTTTGATCTTATCAATCCTCTAATGAATCATCATAAATTTTGGACTAAGTGAATCATTTAAATATCGTTGGTCATTTATTGTTGCTTTGAGATTTTGAAATAAATGATATACTTGACAAAAATAAAATGAAACTTGTTGTTGAGAGGCTTTGATTTTATCAATCTTCTAATGAGTTTTCAAATACAAGATTCAAGATGGTCATTCAACTAACCTCTAATTTCTAATCCATTAACAATTGATTTTTATTTTTATGCTTTTACTTTATGCCTTTACTTTTATGTGCCATTTATTTAGCATTTAC